AATGACAACAACAACAATAAAGTCAAAAGCATGACAAAACTCACGTTTCGAGCATTTGTGTCATGATGCAGTTGGGTTGAAAGATTTTTTTTGTTTTGGAGGGGCGTATTAAAATCGCATTAAAAAAGAGAAACACAAAGAAGTCGAAAATTTCAATAAACCAGTGTCGTGTTTCAAATTTGTATTCGAAACTTTTTGGGGCTTGAAGGTTCTTCTTGTTGTTGTATTCTTTTGTATATACCCTTTATAAGGGAAGTTAATAGGCAATATATACACATTATATGAGATTTTATTTTAGTTTTGTCTTTAAAGTATCTCAAAGTAATCCGCAAACTTACAGATCTACTTCACTACTAAGCGGCTCTGAGAGAATTCTGTACTTGAAAAAACTTGTTTTTTTCTTAAATCTTGAATACTAGGCACGTGGCGCAGAAAACCGTATATGGTATATGAATATTGTGATGAAAAACTAATCGATAAAGACATACCAGTCTGACTGTATCAGCTCCGAGAACTTTTAAACCATAAAACAGCTAGGGACTCCAAACTTTGTTTGTGTACTTGCCTAATCTATGCAGAGCAAGTTTCTTACAAACCATGGAGCCGATATTTGGAAAAAGTACGATACCTGTTTCGTTTAAAAAGATATACAAGTATGTGGAAAATTGTTTTCTAATATGTTTTGTGTAGTACATCTTGATATTCTGTAATTTCTAAAAACATATCTTCAAACCATGCATTTTATTCTCATTGTTTTTTAATTGATTTTGGAATTTGAATGTTTCTGTTGGCAATAAATAATTTCAATAAGAAAAAAATCCTTTATCATTTACCAATTAATATTAGAGTGATGCCTTGTTCTATTAATTATGATTGAAAAGGGTATTTAAGCTTCGCCAAAAGCAATCAACACTTTTTCCTTCTTTTTTGTTGCTATTTCTGTTGCTGTCTGTGTCTGGTCATTGGCAAACATTAGACTTGAAATCGTTATGAATTGGTTTGGTATGGCGCGCATTTCAACCATTTATAAACAAAAAGCCAATAAAACAAAACAACAACAACGAAGCTAAACAATAACAACAACGAACCGAAAACGTGCTGATTAATGTTCAGAGGCGTGCGCGGCATACACACACTCATTCGGCCGTACACTCGCCTAAAATGGCATAGGTCAGTTACACTAATTGAAATAGAATGTTTGCTTATTTGTTGTGGGCTCTGTGTACACAAGAGATACTAAGATACATGGGTGCATGGATACATTGTTTGCAGCTTGTTCATGGCAGCTGTGAAGTGCACTTCGAACAGCACTCAAGTTACTACCCACTGTGGCGGTTACTTATCTAGTTGATACACAACTTACAAGTGTTTAACATAAGTGGCAACAGTTTAGAAAGCGCTGCGCACTCCTTTCACTTTAGAATACGACTGGGCGTAGAGAAAGTGCAGTGCGCCATGAGTCCAGGGAAAATTCCAACAAACTGTTTTGTCAACAATTGAACAGTAACGGAAAATCCTCCAATGGCCACCGAAATGCACAAAAAACCCCACCTGTGTTTTCGAGATTAGAGATTTAGCGCCTCAGTGGTTGTTTGACTCATAAATCATTAAAAAATTATAATAAATTCCTCAATAAAATTAGCAAAAATGCTTTATAAGATGTGACGAAGCTTAAATACCCTTACACGTTTTTTGTTTATGATGGCAGTTACTGTAGAGGAGTATTGTCTGGTGATATGTTTATGTTTCAAATCATTCCTAAGGCATAGCTACGATATTAAAAGCTTATTTAATGCTTACTTAAAGTTAAAATTAAAGCTAACAGGTTTCACTACCAGCGTAGATAGGTTATATTTGTTAATACATGAGATCCGCCCTTTTTAAATGTCGATGAAATCATTTTATTGAAGGTACTTACTTAGATAAGATTGATTTTTGATCGATAGTCCTTTACAAAATGAAAATGTGCACTGATAAAGAAACCCGATTTCACCTCACCAACAAGTTTATTCAAGTTTTCGGCTATATATAAATTACAAAATAATAATAATGATACTATGTGGCTGGTAACACTACTTTCTAAGTATGTACATACTTACGAACACGTATAAATAGAATGTGCTATACATGCATACACGTACATACATCGCAATCTTTACACCAAAATTCCTGTACTCTCAGCGAGAGTATTCAAAGAAAAGAAAAAATAACAATGGCAACAAGCTTTCTAAAATTGGCAAAACGCAAAATGACATCAACAAGTTGTCAAAAGCATGAATAAAAGTCGAAGAAGAGGAAGCAGACAAACAATCGCTGCAGGCAATGAAAAAGCAGTTCAAAGCGCCACAATTGGAAAAGTTCTAAACACCATAATAACGGCAAAGAGCCTGCAATTTTGTAAAAGCTTTCAATAGCTTTTTTGGTTTTGTTAGCCAGCATGCCTGGGGCCTAGAAACGAAAGTCAAAGTTGTAAGCAGCTGAGAGAGAGCAGCAGGAAAAACACGTGGTGTCAAAGGACAAGAGAAAAAGAGAGATATTAAGTGAGAGAGACATAGAGAGGAATGAGAGAACGCGAGCGCATCCTTGAAGGTGGTTCATTTACGCATGAGCGCCAAATGTCAAAACAAGCACTTTGTTGTTGCAAATGCCGACAGACTATAACTGTTTTTGCTGTCACTGTTGTTGTGGGGCTTTTCAGTTATTGTTGTTGTTGTTCTTGAAGTAGTTGCCCTGATTAGGCGTTGATTTGACTTCTAGACTGTCGCTCTTATGCACATTCACTCACTAACTCACTCTTTCTCACGCTCACTGCACTTTGATTTTTCGACAAGATGTGATGAAAGCATCAGAGATGAGATGCAGGCACTTCAGCGACCGCAGCCTACACAAAAGCGCCCACTCAAAGAGTTTAGACAATAACAACAACAACAAGAAGAATAATAGCAGACGTCAACGAGGCGTCTGCAGTTGAAAATATTTAGTTGTTGTACATCCCATTGAGTGGGGGCGTAAGGGCGCAGCATAAGTAACTCATAAGATGGCGCACAAATAAATTACAAACAAACAACATTTGTCTGACAGGCCAACTAATGAGGTGGCAGTAGCCTCAACCCGCATGCCGGGTCGAGAACTTACTAGCAGCAACAACAACAGCAACAACAACGACAGCAAACATGCAACTACTAAGCGCAACAAAACGAAAGACGCGTTCACACCCACTGCTGCGCCCACGCCCCATTCAAGCTTGCAAGGCGCGCCAAGGTTAAGCCACATCGTGTGGGAAGGGGGGAGGATGATGGTTGCTTGCCAGCCAGCGCTCCAACAGCTACTTGTGCAATCAGCTGTTGTTAATGAAAATAGTCGGGGAACGGTAAATGGTAAGCGCGCGGAGGGCGCTTGCTAAAAGTCAGCGAGTGACAACAAAACTCGCGCCTGTTCTTACCTTATTGATTTTTAGATACTTTTTTACGGGTGTGGGTGGGTGTGTTGTTTGTGTGTGTGTGTGTTTGGGGTTCGCACGTAATTGAAGATCCCGGGTGGTGGGTGATTGGCGTTGGCGTTTATTGCTTCCCTTTCACGAAGCACAGCAGCAAAGGCAATCCAGCAACAGATAAGATACTGAGTAAATAGTTAAATGCACTCAACAAAAAAATACCTGCATTTGTGCAAAAGTTACTCATATTGTCAAGACGTGCAAGACAAAGTATACCTGCGCATATAGATAACAACCAAAAAGGCTATAAACTTGCCGATACAAATGCCAAGTCTGGTTACAAATCCCCCTAATCATAACAAACAACAATAGAAACGACTTCAGCAATACTATGAAAACCAACTTACATAAACTCTTGTTGGTACAAGACATCAGAAATTATAAACGAACAGTATATGAATTAAATATAGCATAATATAAAATCGTTTAAAGAATGTATAAATTGTACTCTTGCAATACATATAGTGTTAAGCTTAAGACCCTAGTAGCCAGCTAAACTTTCTTTATTGTTTTAGCTTCGTAACAATTCCTCTTTTATTACCAATCAGGCAGTTAGTCACACAGTCAGTCAGAACAATATATTTTATATATGTACATATATAGGAAACTATTGTACAAGAACATGAATTATGATATTATAATATTACCTAATTATAAATGACTAGCTTGTACCGTTTGGGCTGTGCATTGATCAGGACAAACTGTTTTATATATATAGATATAAGAAGTGGAGAAGGTCGCTTAATTATGGTAAACACTTGCCCTATATACGCGGAATTTCTAGATCGTATTTTTGAAAGATGATAACATACACGTATATATAAGAATGTCGCAATTTGGCCAATAATTCCAAATATAATGCATTATTTGAAAGAATTGAGACATAGTCCATTAAGATAAGGCAGATTCCAAAACTCACTGCGTAGTATGTGGTAAACATTTGGTTGCGGAATGAACAATTCCTCAGATCCGTACAATTGGTGGTTCTGGTTCATTTTCGGAAGGTTGCGACTTACGTGACAATCGCAATATCTCTCTAGTAACCCCCCCCCCCCCCCCCCCCCCTTGCATCGAGAACGAATTCTTAAGATATACATATACAAATTAAGACTGTGCACCAGATTACAAGAAACAAAATATTTTCGTCATCATCTCATTGAAAAATTTGCTTACAGATATCTCCAACGCTGACACATTTTTGATTCCGTTTCTTTGATTTAATCTCATCTAATATCTAATAACAACTTTGAAATCTTCCCCTCAAAATTATGTTCACAAAAATAAACAACAACAAAGTAACAAAAATAATATCTTCATCATCTTCTCATCATCTCAGCAGCTTTCATTAGTTCTAAACACTGCAAGCGTCTATTTTAATAACAATTAGAAATCAATTAAAAAAACCTAATAGCAACTGATTATGTTTTGTGGTTTTTTCGTTAAGTGTATGCAAAAATAAAAAAAACGCAGAAGACAAATGTTAAAAAAAGTTAATTAATGAACTTACCCGTCGATTTGTGAATCTCTTGTTTGACTTTAGCTGCAGCTAATAACAATCCTCCTGCTCGCCAATGTTTAATTATCTGTTTTCTCTTTGATAAATAAATACTTTTGTTGTTATTATTGTTGTATTTTTTTAAGCTAAGCACTTAAACGCTGACTTGCACTTTGTTGTAATTGCACTTATATGAATTATGCGGTATTTTATCTTGTTTGTGTAAGTATTTCCGCTTTAATTATAATACAAACATTTAATCAAAATAATAATTTATGCGCGCTGCTGCGTTTTATTGCACTCGCGGGCTATTTTTTTTTTTACACATATTGACATGACAGGCCTTGGATAAAGCTAATTGCAAAGGCAATTTCACAAAACGAGTGAAACGAGCAGTGAAATTTAAATGACATGAGCCTACCTGACAGACAGGACTTTACTGCGCATATACACATATTTATAGTACTTATATATAGTTGTGATTCTACAAATATGCCATGCAAATGCCTGCACGCGTCTGACATCGAAAACGAAATAAATTCGACAGACTGGCTGTGAATTGTTTATACTATAAGGTACTTTTCAGGTCGGATTAGCGGTCACTCAGTAACTGATAAGAGAGTGCAAAACACAAGTGCAAGTGCCGTTCCCAGTGGTTCTCGGAACTACTTAGTACAGAACTCACTCCCTTTGGTAGTCCTAAGGGAACAATTGTTTGTACCCAGGCCTGAAAACGTTGCTGTTCTGTTCTATTGAGACTTTTTTTTATGAGTTTTTTCCTCTAAACGTCCACCGGAGCCAACAAGCTCTTGAAACCACTTTGTTTATCATATTTTCATACAAAAACAAGCGAATTTAACTAATTAAATCCAATTTTACAATTATTCATACTTCATTGCGGGACATTCGAATGCAAAGTCTCAAAGGCGCATATTTTTAAATTTATATTTATTACATTTATATTACACGTTTTGTTTTCGTAATATCTCTTAAAAAGAGACATTATGCATTGACTGTTTCTATTTAAAATTAATCTCCGAAAAAATGCGTAAGAGCCGTTGGGTATTTTTATCAAAACTTCTTGTGAATTCAATTTTTTCAAAGAAAACATACGAATACCTACTTCACAGTTTAGTTCAATTTGTTATATTAAGTTTTATAATATAATCGACAGTAGTATTGTATATTATGAATAAAATAAAAAAAATGATAATACAAGAAGATGTCATAAAGACAAGAATTGTGTAACATTGAATTTCAAAAAGGTAAAATTTTTATTTTTAGAGATTTACTCTCCATGAGTATGCTTGAATTATAAACTAGATTCTACGAGAAGTATAAACAAATTTACAAATAGAAATTTCAGTGAGTGAGAATAATTTCCTATTCCTTTAAAAAAAATTGTTGTAGTTAAATGAACAATCAACGAATAAGTAATTCCAACGTTTACAAAGATGAATCTTGTTTATTGATATGTGAAAAATAATTTGAATTTTCTCGTGAAGTCTAAACGGGTATCATTGGGAAACACCAGCTCCATTAATAGAACCAGTTTATGGCGAATAAATGACACTGTCTCCGAGCCGCAGGTCGAAGCATAAGCCGCTTATCACTGCCTAGTAGAAGCTGTTGCGTACTTCTGATAGCTGGCGAGTGATACGCAAATTGAACAACAGGCAATCAGCAGCAATGACAACAAAAGCAACAACTTATATAGTGTAGATTTATCATAATTGTGTAGCAGAGGCTGTAGAACAAGCTTCAAACACGACCTGGGTGCTTTTCTATCTAACAGATAGTTCCGACTCAACTGGCACTCATGTATGGATGTGTTTGCACGGCGCACAGCAATTGATAAGAAGCCAAGCAAACATGTTGCGGACAAAAAAAAAACACTCGGCGGTATCTATGGACATATGTAGGTACATCCCGATATGTGCACACTATATGTTATGTGCTTATGTTTGTTGTATGCAGTCGATGGATGGCAAGCAGATTGGAATCCCATTGATTTTTTCAAATAAAATAACAAAAACAAACAAACAAACAAGCAACCAAAAAGTTTCACTGCGCCACAAAAATGTCAATCCAACAAATTTCACTTTGGGCAAAAGTACATAACAAATTTGTTTTTGCTGTTGTTGTTGTCATCGTTTGTTGTGACAATTAATGTACAACAACTACAACAGCAACAGCAACAACAACGCACAGGCAATAACAACAGCCATGAACTTGAGCGCACATTTAAATTTCTCTATATGCTCGTATTATATTTAAATCATTTTAAATTTATAATTAAATCTTGCTGCCAGGGTATTTGTCACACAAAACCAGCGGCTGATCGCCTTAATTCATGTTTGTTGGTTTGTGCATGTTTTATAAACTATTTTTATTATGTGTATAAGCACTTGGCCCATTGCGGAATAGCACACTTGATGTTAAGTGTGTAGCGGACCAGATTTTAAGGTTGTTATTAAAATTATGCACTGCTCAGATAGCTGAATACATTATTTTAACTATTTTCGCAGCTATTTTATTGTAATATTTATAATTTTTTGTGTGTTTTTTTATGTCAAGAGAGTCGCGCAATTTTGGCGCGGCGCGCGCGCTCTCCCACACACGAACCGTTGTCGCTGTCGTCAATGGAAACGTATGCGAAAAACGAAGAAGCAATCGAAAAGAAACCAACCAACCCAACAAGCGTGTGCGCGACTACAGAGCTCGGAGACCATGAGACACGGCGGCCAACAAGTTCCGATAACAACTGGGCGCGCTGCGACGGCGGGCCTATGAGTTTTGTTGCCGACGCTTACACAAGCAGCAGAGGCAGCAGCAGCAACAACTACAACGGCAACTGAGAGTTGTTACCAGTGTTGCCATTTTAGCCATTTTTCCGCCACTTCTGGACATTTTCATTTCCCAACTGCGGCAAACATGTTATGCATATACCCATAATAAAAATAATAAATAAAATACAATAAATAAATATGAACTTACTTCTCACCGAATTGTCATTAACATTTACATTTTGACAATCCATTTACATTTAAAAGTGCATTTCAAAACCCAAGCTGAAAGGCAAATTGACCAAGGCAAAGAAACTTTGTTATGAGACAGTAACGTTATACATATATCTCCAATAAGATCTTATCTTCATGTCGTAACATGTGAAAAAGAGAATAATTGAAAACTAGTTGTTTAACAGCCTTATACATTTTTCAGATATTTTAATAGCTAATCTAGCTTTTATTTACACTCAAAGACTGGCAACGCTGATTATTACAAAGAGCAGCAGCAGCAGTAGCAAAGGCAACAACAACAAAAATCGTGCTCTGGTCGCTGCCGTTTGACTTACGATTTTTCTATGTGGGATGGGATGGCACATGCAGTGAGCTTGCTGTTGTTTTTGTTGTCATTGTTGTTGCTCAGTCAATTGACAAAAGCAGCAAAGCTTGTGTGTGTTGTTGCTATTGCTGCTTAGCTTTTCATTTAGTCGCTGCTCCCTACGATTTGGCGCTCTGAGTAAGAAGCATACACAAAATATACAGTTACTCTGGCGCGCTCTTGCGCTCTCTCATCCACACACCAATACAAACACTTAGCCGCGCTCACTAAGCTAAAACAGCTGATGAAGTATACAAAACGTAAACAGACAGCAATGCTTTGGCTTAGCCGCAGTAGTTGTTGCCTCTTTGGGGCGCGCTCGTTGGCGCGTTAATGAGCGTGCATTAAACGCTTTGAAATTTAAAATAATTATAATCAGACAGTACGAAAGCAAACTCAAAACAAAGCCAAGGTAGCGATGAGCGCGCAACGGAAACATGTTTGAAATCCGACCACAATTCTTGACGGGAGAGAGGGGCACTGCAATACGAAAATATAGCCCACAATTAAGTACCAACGACGTCTGATGACTGACCCTGCTGCTACGACCGCAGACAGTAGACAATTGACTTGGCTAGTGGGTGAGACGTCGGTCTAAATTACACTGCCCCAAATTACAGCGAGCTCCAACAGCTGTCTGCTGCCTGGCAGCCAAAATAGATGCGCACAGCACACATCCAACTTGGCAGACGACAGCGAATTGTAATTTGTTTGTCAACGAATGCGCCAGCAGCGAAGAGACCCAAAAATATGCGACATAGAAACACACATAGCCGAAAAGTACCAAAAATAGCTGAATCGAACAGAATTTCTGGGCGTTTTGCACTTGGCTGATATTCGAAAAACCACCCACAAACATGTACTATCAAAGTTATTCATACGACATGCGATATTCTTATCATTCAAAGTTTCAAACATTACATGAGGGTTTTTTAAAATGTATTTTATAAAATCATATTTTGAACTTTCAATTCTTTGCTATTTCAAATGTATTACTAAAGAAAACACAGTAATTGTGATTAACGCCGCTAACTAACAGCAACCATTTCAAATATTCCGCAAGAATGATTTTGAAAATATTAAAAAAAATCATTTTTTAATTCCTGTAAAACTTTAAATTATAGGCTCATCATCGTTATTTTATGTTTTTCTTTTGCAGCAATGTTGTATAGTGTTGTTATGAAATATGAATTTGTATACTGTATATGCATAGTTTGCTGCTATTCGAATTATCCCACAGCATTTTCTGGTAAACTTAAAATTGCTAAAGAGCCAGATTTGGAATAGAATGCTTATTCCAAATCACACTTTTATTATTAATATATAAATCTTACAAAGAATAAAATATAAGACGCTCAGATTCTACATAGCTCCCTAAAGCGACAATGAAGGATAGCAGCTATCTCGTCGAAGAATGTATAATTTTGAAGAAAGAAGAGTGGACATTAAGATAACATTATTAATGCCCTTGCCTTTTTATACTTTCAACCAAACTGAACATAGTTTGCTGTTATTCGAATTATCCCACAGTATTTTCTGTTTGTACTAAAAGAAAGTAAAGAATAGAATATTGGTAAACTTAAATTGGCTAAAAAGCCAGATTTGGAATAATCATTCTCCTAAGCCACACTTTTATTATTAATATATAAATCTCACAACGAATAAAATATAAGACGCTCAGATTCTACATAGCTCAGCGACTATGAAGGAAGGATAGCAGCTATCTCGTCGTATAATTTTGAAGAAAGAAGAGTGGACTTTAAGATAACATTATTAATGCCCATTACCTATTCTGGCTTTCTAACTACATATATACTTTCAACAAAACTGAACAATACATGAAAACAATCAAATGTTTCGCTTACATACTTATATTAATAATAAAAAATAATATCGTGCGGCTTTTCTATGGATTCTTGAATTTCAGATGCAGAACAAATGCGAATAACGCTTGAACTGAATATTCTCACCGACCCCATAATTGACGAGCTACGCATAAGCTGCCAAACGACGACCTAGACCTACATCTGGGCGGCATAAAGCAAGCTCGGTAGCTATAATTCTTTTTTTTTTGCCAGTTCTAACGGAAACTCGAAACACATTCAACACCTGAGGCGTCATAAATCTTGCGCAATGCTTCATTGAAGCCCGCTTGATGCGCTTGATGGGCTTGGTGGGGGGGAGGGAAGTGCGAAGTTAAACAATAGCCGCTTAAATATTTGCACTGCCACATAATTACAGGCCGTGCTAATAACAATTTAGTGGTGTGTGTAATTGTTCTTCTTCTTCTCTGTAGAATTTTTTTTTTTTTTTTCTAATGTGATTAGAAAATGTTGCGGTGGACACGTCGCTGTAGCTGTTGTTGTTATTGTTTATATTGTGGGGTTAATGCTACAACACTTGTTGCTTGCCACATACAGTAGCCTTGCATAGAAGCCAACGGCCATTGGCCACCACAATTGTTGGCCATAAATTTGCGCTTGTTTCCGCTATGCGGCCAACAGCAACAACCACAACAACAATGGCAACAACACATATCGCTGACTGCCTTTTGACTTCGCCGTTGGGCTATTCTTTGTGCTAACAACAACAACAACAACAGCAACTACCAACAAAAAAACTAGGCAAAGTCGCTATTTATTTGTTATTTGCCTCTTTATTATTTCTTCATCGCTTACTCACTCGCCAGTGTTCGCCATGCGCTCAATCCAATTAGAAGAACTGCCCCCAAAAAAATAGGTTCGATATTGTGCTCAATTAAGTTAGCACTGTTAGACTTAATTCCCATTACTCCAATGGGAATCATAGAGCATTGTATTTGGCTCTCTGATAAGCGCCTTATCATCATTGGCTCACGTCATGCTGTGCATAATTAGTGTGTACTTAGCTCATCACTTTTTTGGTGATGATTACATATCTTGATAGATACTACTTGTATAAGCCAGCGACAATGGCCATACAACAGTTATAAGCCACAGGAAGCGTTGGCTTCTTGGCCCCCGATGCCAACTGCATACAATACGAGCTCACAAGAACTTAAACACCATACAATGCCTATCAATCGAATAGATACACTATTTGGTTCTCAGCATAACGTCTTTATAATAATGGTACCATTTATTTTATAATTAAAAGCAAACTTTTTATTTGCAAAATGAAAATAATGCAAATGAAAAATCGAAAAATATAAATAGCTTTTAACCTGTAGCTAGATTCTAGCTTTTTTAGAGAGATCGAGTCATCTCATCATAATCCTTCTGTATCTTGCATACATAAACTATGATACCCTTTTGTAGTAGTTTTCGCGTTATTCAAATATGTATAGCATTAATACTAAGGTGTCAGTATTTCTAATTAAATTAATTAAATTAAATAATTTACATATATTACATATAATTTAGCCAGTGCTTTTTTTTTACATCAATAAACAATTATTTTTTGTCATTCCATTGCATTGCCGGTTATTTATCTAACCTGTAAGTTTTTATTTTGATGATTCTGGTCAAGACATCAGCTTGTAATATTGAAAATATTCAGATGACTATCTAAACTTGATTTAATTATATATTTTAAGTACGAAAAGTGTGAGAATTAGTAGATTGTTAAATGCAAGTCAAGTTAATAAAATCATTTTAAGTCAAGTTAATAAAATTATTTTACTCCGAATACTGGTCCTTTGTTGCTATATGGCTAATGCTCTAGCAGATATAGAATAATATTTTACTTGTATTTCCACTCAGAACTTTGCCAAAAATGTATACTCAAAAATGAAAACTATTTGAAAAATGCCTGGAAAGGTATATGGAGAAATAATTTTGGCAATTTGATATAATTTTTTTTAGGCTGCGACACAAAACTTTTCCAAAACATACGGCGGATTTTAATCTAGAAATTTTCAGCTATTAACCAGAAATAGTAAATCTTATATTAAATCGAACGCTATAATCAAATAATAATTCGCGCTGAACATCTGAGACTGTACATATAATCTCATTAACGATATAATCAAATAAAAATTCGCGCTGAACATCTGAGATCGCTCTTATAATCTCATTTCATGTTGTCCAGATCTACATCAACTAAATAAAATATTTGCTATATTTTCATATAATAAAGCTTGTCTGTATGTATATATATACTTATTAATAAATTAAGTGTGCATAGAGATTAGAGTTGACGACACAGGCTTTTTAATTCGCAGTATTCAGTATCAGCACAATTCTCGTTAAGTTATACTGTATACGAGTATATGCTTTATGCCATCATCTTTCTACAAAGAAACTAAGTAAATCCATTTTGATTGCGATAAAGAAAGTTATCTGAACGATTACGATTAAGAGATATGAGCAATTACGCCTAT